ATCACCCCCCGCCCCACGCAGAGCCCAGCAGGCTCCTCGCATGGGCTGTTTGCCCTCTGCCGATGCCCATTCCGTGGGCACTGGCTGCCCCGGCCCCTGCACTGCCGCCTGTGCCTCGCCCCGCCCGCCTCCCGCTTAGGGCGCCCCCGGCGAGGCCCTCAGCTCCACCCTCGCTCCTCATGTCAGTCACCCCAGTAGCCGGCACCTCGTCGCCTCCAGCGGGCCGGGGTCTGCACCTGCCCGGCTCGCCCCTTCCTGTCCCGTGTTTTACGTGGAATTCACACGCATGGCTTTTGACCATTTTCATTTGTGACCGCACGTGGAGCCCAGGGGACCGGCGCGCCCGCTCTCGGCAGCAGGGCCCGTACCTGTCCCGCGCAGGCACTGGACCGCGGTGGTGAAGCCCTTGGTACGAGGCAGCAGGTGGTACTTGAGGGGGGGCAGCCCCTTGGAGGCGGCCACCTCCATGCTGACCCGGTGCTTCTTCTCGGTGAAGCGGGTGCCCTCACAGTACAGGAGAAACTAGGACACGAACACAGGGACCCCGGCTTGAGCGCCTCCCGCTCCGGGCGGACCGACCGGCAGCAACACGCCTGCTGCCCAGCTCGGAGAGATGACGGCCCCCCCCAGGGGCAAGCAGGGGGCGTGCTCCGAGACGTTATTTTACTTCAGTGGACGGTCCGCACTCTGGCCACACAAATGCCCTCACCAACCAGCTAAGAGCCCTGCATTTATTCGCAAACAATGCCAGAGAGAACTTTCTAGAAAGGAGGAAACACGAAGGTCCCTGGGTGGCGGCCTTCTGGCTGGAGCGGAAAATACATGAGGTAGAAGCGCTAAGTGAGGAGCCAGCTCTCAAAGGACTGTCACGGGCCAGAGAGAAGGAGCGAAAGAGAAACAGGAGGTCTGGACCAACTGACACCCTTGATTCTGGGAGGGTCTCCATCCAACTCCCCTGAGGGGCTTTAAGACCCCCCCAAGTCCCAAGGCCCTGGCTGCTGGTATGGGGGTGTCACATGGGTGTGACTCCTCTACGTCCTGAAGGATGACCTCGCCCAGACCTGCAGGTCACTAGGTTCCACTCTAGAACCACCACTAAGGAAGACCCTCCCTGCAGAGGTGGCTCCTCAGCCTGGGCACTGCTGGGCACCCACACGCCTCTCCAGGGGACCCCACTTTGCTGATCAGGACCACTGTGCAGGGAGGTGGCCCTCCTCCCCCTTCCCTCCCGACTCGTGCTCTGAACTGGGGCAGTGGAAGCAGGGGACCCCCAGGCCCTGCTGTGAATCACCTCGGTGCTCAGAGCCTTTTGCCCGCCTGGCCTTCCCACTCGTGACTCAGGTCACGATCGTACGTCTGAGATGGCGTCCAGCCAGTGCAGCCTCCCATGCCAGGGCACACGTGTGTGCATGGACTCACCCACATGTGCTCGGGGTAGTCGGACAAGCACCTCAGCCCTTTGATGACGGTGTCCCGGTCCTCCTCCCACTTCCTCTTGCAGAACACGATCTCCAGGAAGTACCACGTCCAGCCGATGAGGGGCACGCACAGCAGCTCCCTCTTGGCCAGGACTTTGGAGCTCTGGGGGGGAGGGGAGCAAGTAGTTTGCTCTAGGCCAGGAGACGTCCCAGGACTGGCGTGGTGGTCAGTGACTTCACTGTCCACAGGGGCACCCTGACACCGAGCGGAGCAGGGAGACCCTGACACTGAACATGGTGCCACTGCGACCAGCGTGGCCCAAGAGCACAGGTGCGCCTTCCTACAGATGACGAATCCAAGGCACAGGCCTGGCAGAGGGAGGGTGCCCAAGAGATAGCCACCTGGACTGGCCACAGGCCGGGCCTTCCTGAGGATGCCATCCATGGGCACTTGCTACAGTGGGACTCCGTGGCCTGGCTCAGGGTGTTTACACTGCATCAGGGCAACTAGCTCGCCCATGAGGCTCTGGGGCCTCACGGGACAGTCAGTGAGGCTTGTGAGAGGAATGGCAGAAACAGCCAGTCCCAGGAGACCCCGGGCAGCTGAGGGCAGCCGAGGGCAGCCTGGGTCAGTGTGCGTCCAGACTCCCAGCTCAGCGAACTAGGGGCGAAAACCGGAGGGGAGAAAGCCCAGGCCCCGGAGAGCTGTGCCAGCACCACCCCGGGGCCCCATGGTGCCAACCCCATTCCCTCCAGGGCCCCGAGTCACTCACGCCCAGCACACCGAAGCGCTCACACATGGTCCACCCGCAGAGAAAGTCGATCTCGAAGTTGTGGTTGAGTATGATGACCGAGTGCTCCTTCCCCAGGCGGTCCACCGTGGCCTGGTCGGTGAACAGGGTGCACTGCGTGCAGGACCACCACTCCAGCAGCATGACCAGCTCTGCGGGGACACACGGGGGTCGGTGGGGCAACACACCCTGGCCGGGCCTCCCTCTGGGCAGGGAGCGCAGGCCAGCCCCAGCTCCGCCATGGGTGGGACTCCCCAGTATTTCCTCCAGACTGGGCTTTTTGGCTAAAAATGCGTTTCGGCAGTTTACATTTAATAAAGTAAGTTTTCCTAATTTGTAATTACCTTCTCTAAGCAAAAGTTGGGGAGAAGACAAATGAAACTTCCAGAAAGTAGCAGAAACGGGAAAACCAGCATTTTGGATGGTTACCTTTCTCTTCTGCCCCCTTATGATTCCCACGTGTGCTGTGGTTTATGGAATATCACACAGTCAACCCACAGAACGGGGGAGGGGTGGTGTGGGCACAGCCAGCCCCAGGCCCCGTGGTCGGCAGCTGTGGCTGTGCGGAGGCCAGGTGTCCCGAGAAGGGTGACTCGCACAGTGGGGTCCCGGGCACAGGGCGGAGGCTCAGTATAGCCACAGCACAGCGCCGTTCGTTTCGTGCTGAATCCCAGCCTGTTTTCCGAGGGCACTGGCCCTTGGGGATGGAGGCCAGGGAATGACTCCAGGACAGTCCAGAGCTTAGAGCCTGGGCTCTGAGCCTCAGTTTCCCCATTTACAGAAAGGAGGTAAGAGTGGTTTCCTCACGGGGCTACTGAGAGGACAGCACGCGACAATAACACCATTTAACAGCTTTCAGTCTGTCCACCTGACAAACAGTGATTTCATATGTATAGACACAGACCCGAGTGCACAGGTAACATGTCTACACACAGGCACTTGACTCAGAAAGTGAGACAGACAAGCAGAGTGACATGCCCCTGCGGGGGCGGTGCCCGCGGTCAGGGGACGGGACTGGCCGTGCACTGGCAGCTGTTAGGACTGTTAACGGTGCAGTGAGTTGAGGACTGTTTCCAAATCCCAAAGCGCTGCGCTGAACCGCACAAAGCTGCCGCCTCTGCGGGTCCCCGGGTCAGGAGTCTGAATGTCACTTGTTCGCCCTGACGACGAGCTTGGGTCGAGCGTCTTCCCGCACGGCCCCCGCCTGGAGCACCGCGGCCTCCCGAGCGCCCTCCCTCCCGAGCGCCCAGCGGCGCGCAGGGCTACTCACGGCTCCAGAGCGAGTAGGCGAGGCGGCAGTTGAGCCGGCGGTACAGCTGCTTGTTCAGGGGCCAGAGGACCAGGGTGCATAGCTGGATGAAGTTGATGACCAGCCCGCTCACCACAAAGACGAACCCGATGAGGAGGTGCAGGACGAACTGGGTCTTCAGGTAGGCGAGCAGGCCCATGGTCACGCCTCAGTAGCGCGTGCAAGGTCCCTCACTGAGAACAGCCGTCCTGGAGGGACAGGGAAAGCAGTTGGGGACCCGGGGACCAGAGCTGCAGGCCGAAGGGGAGCCCGAGGGCCCCGCAGCAGAGCCCCTGGTCCGCTGCACCCGAGGGAGCTTCTGCAGGGTAACACACACGGCGCACAGGGACGTGACGCACGTCACACCACACACAGCACACCACATACACACACCACACACACACCCCATACGCCACACCACATACACACAGGAACCACACACACGCGCACATAAGGAAGGAAGAAAGACTAGAAGAAATGCACCCAGACATTAATAGATTATCTCTAGGTAAAGGCATTGTGAGTAATTTTTACTTTTTATTTACTTTCGTTTTTATTTTATTTATTTTTTGGTTAATCCTCACACAAGGAAATTTTTTTCCGTTGATTTTCAGAGAGTGAAAGGGAGGGAGGGAGAGAGACAGACAGAGGGGGAGAGAGAGAGAAACACCGATGTGAGAGAGACACCCTGACTGGCTGCGTCCTGCACGAGTCCCCAACTGGGCTGGAGATCAAACCTGCAACTGAGGTACATGCCCTTGACCAGGAATCGAACCTGTGACCCTTCTGTCCACGGACCAGTGTTCCAACTACTGAGCCAAACCAGCTAGAGCAATTTTCACTTTTTTTTAGCATCTTATTTAAAAGTTTAAAACTGCACATGAAATCTCTATAAAAACACATAACTGCCTTTTAATTCCCAGGCTGTTGTGTACTTTTTTAGGCTAAAAGGCTTATGTTTTGGCTTCTAACACAAAAGCAACTCCCCCCAGAACTTAGCTGGTTTCTCTCCCCTCCTCTTCAATGTGCATTTCTTATTCCAAAGGTGAAGCCAGGGCTCACATTTCATGGTTGTACCTGCTCTGGGAGCTGCCCGACAATTCCCCTTGTGAGGAGAGGAACACAGGGAAGTTGTGACTCAACCTCTGGCAAGTTCCAAGCTGGCATGTGACAGTGCTGTGGCCACCCTGCTGGGAGCCCTGCAGACCTGGCCCGAGGGGCGGGGGTGGAGCTGGCCCTGGACACAGCTGCGCAGGCTCCCTCAGCGCCCAGGCCAGGCCCTGCTGCACTTTGTCAGCTGAGCTCGCCAGGGCCCAGCTGCCCCACCGCTTGATATTCTTGTGCCCGGAGAACAGGCTGATGGCCGGAAACCATGCCATGTGATTTTCCAGGCCAAGTCATAGAGGGTCCTTGCCCAGCTGGCCCAGGGGACAGCAGCTGCTATGGAAGGACACTGGAAGTGGAGGAAGCCCTTGTGGAAACTAACCCTCCAGACCCAGTCAAGCCTTCAGATGCCCACAGCCTGTGAGCAGCCAGCCCACTCAGCAGCTGGGCCTGAAGTGGTGGCCCTGAGAAACCGAGGGTAATGAAGCTTTAATGCTGTCTTATACCACGATGTGTTGGGGTCATTTGTTACACAGCACCCAAAAACAAATTCATTACTCTGGAGTAACGAATACACTCCTCCAACACCCAATTCCACCAACTGCAGACAAAGCTCCACAGATCAGACTTCGTTTTAGTCCAATCTCGCGTGAAAGGGTATCAGGCAGTGCTACTAATTTCTGTTTTCCTGATGATTATAACACCATAATTCCAATATTGCAGGTTCTTGGGCTCTAACTTCCCTATGTTATATATGGGGAAACTGAGGACCAGAGGGGCCAGAGAGGCTTTAGGGCCTGCAGTTCAAGACGGATGAAGCCTCAGCGAGCCCTTGGCCACAAGCTGCTCCTGATCTGAGCACCAGACACGTCAAGACAAGGTTTCCCTTGAGGAAAGGCCTAGGACCCAGCTCTCTCCTTTCCTGCCGCCCTGATCACTTGCGACAACCTGGGTAAGCCCCCTGCGCCCGGCGCCTCGGAAGACACCGCTGCTCCTTTCACCCGGAGAGAGGAGCGGGACCTGGGAGGCAGGACAGTGGCCCGCCCGTTAACATGGCGCCTTCTCACGGATACAGACGCTGTCGCCGCCGAGATGGCGAGGAAACCTGAGCCTGCGTCTGAGTCCTTTCAGCAGATAACAGGGTTAGATTTTTCCGGAGCCTGGCATCTGCACAGCCTGAGCTGAGGCTGAGGCGGCTGCCTCCTGGGCTTTGTGGCCCCTGTAGGAGCCGCTAGGACCCCACCTTCTCGGGGCAGGGGACAAGCTACACATTCACCTTCCCCAAAGCAAGGTGCAGGGTGGTGTCACCCCCTCAGGGACAGGCTGCTGGCAACTCGAAGATGGGGAGTAAGCCAGGTGGCTCAGCGAGGCCGTGCTAAAAATAGTTCCCCAGCAGGCGAGCCTCCCAGAGCAGCAACTCGACCTCACCGGGGACTCCAGTGCCACCCACCGGCACAGAGACGCGACTCCAGGAAGCCGGTGAAAGCTCTAGCAGGGCAGGAAGGGCTGGGAAGCCCAACCAGACCCTCCTTCCCAGCTTGGGCGCCCTAAGAAGCAAGACCCTTGGTGGTTCTGATGTTCGTCCCTCCAGGTGCTTCTGCTAATTCTGTGCCTGTGGCTTCTGTCACCCAGCTGCTCCTGCTCGAGGCTGGGAGTGACGGGGAGATCTGCGGGCCCAGAGCCCCATGGACCAGCTCCCTACCATCACGGAGGGGCCAGACCCACTGGCAGGGCTCTGCCTGGGCTCCTCTCAGTCCTAACCCTGACACCTCATTATGGGTGAATAGCGTCCCCCAAAAGGATGCATTGGAGTCCTAACCTCACACCTGAGAATGCGGCTGTAGGTGGAAATATGATCTTTACAAAGGTAATCAAGGTCAATGGGGTCACTAGTGTGGGCCCGAATCCCACAAGACGGGCGTCTTCATAAAAGGAAATTAGGACACAGACACACAGGGAAAAGACAGCTGTCTACACGCCAAGGAGAGAGGCCTCAGGGGGAACCATCCCTGTGACACCTGGGTCTCAGCCTCAGCCTCCAGACTGTGAGGGGATAAATTTCTGTTGCTTAAGTCCACAGCCTGTGGTACTGTCCCAGCAAATGAACACACTGCTTATAAATATTCAGGCCTCTTCCCAGACCCCACAACTCTGGAGGTGCACAGGCCCCCTCCTGTGCCCTGCTGTAAACTCAGACCTGAGCCTGCCTCTGAACCCTGCCTGGCCTCACTGTGCTCAAGGGCAAACCCTATCCCTGCCTCAGAGTCCATCACCGGATGGCCATGGTGCCCTCTCTCCCCAGCACTGGTCCCCTTGTCCCTTTCAACCAAAAGAATTAGCCAGTCAGCCTGGCCAGGCGTGGCTCAGTGGCTGAGAGTCGACCTACGAACCAGGAGATCACGGTTTGATTCCTGGTCGGGCGCATGCCCGGGTTGCGGGCTCGATCCCCAGGGTGGCGTGCAGGAGGCAGCCGATCAATGGCTCTCTCATCATTGATGTTTTTGTCTCTCTCTTCCTCTCTCTCTGAAATCAATAAAGATTAAAAAAAAAAAAAAAAAAAAA